CCTGCGCGTACAGCTCCGCCGCCGCCATGGGCTGCAGGGACCTGACGGACGAGCGAGCCAGTGAGCGCCACCGCTGGCTCAGGAGGGAGGAGCACTGCCTGCGGGGCGGGCCACCTCGGTCACAGGTGCGCGGCTGGGGCTTCCGGAAGTGAGGGCTGAGGGCGTGACCGAGGGTAAGTTCAGGATACTGGGAGGCTGAGGCAGGAGGACCAGAGTGTCGGGCCAGTGGGAGCAACTTAGAAAAATTCTGTCTCAAAATAAAAAATATATAAGAAAAGGCTGGGCCTGAGGCTCTCTGGGAAGGCTCTGGGTTCAATTCTCAGCGAACGCGCGCACACACACACCCTTAAACCAGGGACAATGTTACTGTTAAATGTTAAATGTTAGATTACGGTAATTTTGTTTATCCCTTGATTTTGAGGTGCTTGAAGCAGAATTCAGGGCCTCTGCGACCCCCCCCCATGGACCAGTACCTTAGAATCTTGTCATTTCTATATATTAAAATCTACTGTAGCCAGGCGTGGTGGTGCACACCTATAATCCTAGCACTTGGGAGGCTGAAGCAGGAGGATTGCTGTGAGTTCGAGACCAGCCTGGGCTACATAGTGAGTTCCAGGTCAGTCTCAACTACACAGTGAGACCCTTGCTCAAAAAACTAACAAACCAAAAACTACTGTAAATGGGTTAAAAAAAAGATAAAACACCTAACTGTTTTAAATGACAAAAGAAATGGACATCACACAGGGGCTCTGAGGTGGCCGGTTAGCAGATGAGCAAATCTCCACGCTAGTGACCGAGAAACCCAAAGGAACCAGCGACGAGATGCTACTTTACAGTCATCAGGTCCACAAAACTGGCCTGGATGACGCTGAGCACTGTCCAGAGGTGAGAAAACACAAACAGGGCTGTGGGAACGGTACCTGCACTGCCATTCCGGGAACGAGCACAGAAGGCCCCGAGAAGGTAAGTGTGGGCCGGAAGTCTCCTCGGTCCCTCGCAGACAGGTCCCCGGTGGCTGCGGAGTAGCCAGGACCCCGTATCTCCACAGCACAGGCTGCTCGGGCAGACGGAGGGGTTGCGTGTTTGTGGCTGCAGTGGCTGAAATAAAGGCCAGGTGGTCAGTGAAACTCATTTCTCAGGAGCACACGCCTACGGAGGGAAACGCAAGCAGACGGAGCGGAAGGGACCAAGCCTGTACCAAGAGCCGGGCCGGGCCTGACCCTGTGCAAAGTCAGCTCCGCCACTGCCACTGTCCAGTGAGAAATGAAGACGGTGGGCAGGGACAGCTGCCGGGCTGCTCTGAGTTCAGAAGGCCATCCAGCTGTTTTCTTCCTTACCTATAAGTTCTACTGAAGAAGAGCCGGTTACTCAGGGGGACCCTGCCTCAAAATGAAAGGAAAATAAAAAGGGCTGAGGACATAGCTCAGTGTGAAGGCCCTGGGTTCAATCCCCAGTACCTTGGAGGAGGAGGAGAAAGAGGGGGAGAGGAAGACACTTCTAGAAAAGCACAAATGAGTGTCCAGATCAATGTATCCTTGCTTTGTGGGACACATCATACTCGAGGTGCAGGCATCCACCAGGCCGAGATGCAGAGCACTTTCTTTCCTGTATCTACTGAGATGAGGGTTTCTGCCCTCCATTCTACTGATATAGTGATTGATTGCTTTTTGAATGGATTTTTAAAAGATGGGGGTCTTGATATGCTGACCAGCCTGGCCTCAAACTTAGAATCTTCCTGCCTGAGCCTCCCAAGTAACTGGCTCTATAGACCCATGTGCCATCTGCCGGGCAATTTATTTTCAATTATTAAAACAACTTTGTATTCCTGGGATAAGTCCTGCTTAGTTCTGGTATGCAATTCTCATACTATAGTGGACCCTTGACTTATGAATTCAATTCATTTTCAAGCGCTGGTTTTAACTCAAGTTGGTCAGTGAAGGCTCAGGCACCTCTACACGGCCTTCAGAGTCTCTCCTGCACATAGGTAGACCTCAGTGTCCTTAGAGAGATGCTGGCCCAGGATTTCCCAGTGAACCCCACATAGGAGTGGATGTGTCATGCTCCTTCCAGAGCTCTGTAAGGGTTAAGTCTGTATCTAGAACCATTTGGAAGCACAAGCAGCCAGCATTTGGATTGTAACTCAAGATTTCGGTTTTAAGTTCAAACCAAAATTCCAGTTGTAACCAAGTTGTTTGCACGTCAAGCCAGGTGTAGCTCAAGGATCCACTGTATGTTGCTGGGTTTCATTTGCGGTGCTTTGTTAGGGATGCTGTGATCTCTTCATGAGGGATATTCTTAGTTTTCTCGTGATGTATTCCATGTGGCCTTGTAGAACACGTGAGATAGCGTGTTCGTCTCTTGGAAAAGATTGTGAAGGACTCGTGTTATTTCTTCCGTAACTATTTGATAGAATTCGCCAATGAAGCTATCTGAGGCTAGACTTTCTCTGTGAGAAGATTTTCAAATGTTCATTTAATTTCTCTACTTATAAGTCTGCTCTGACTTCCTAGGTCTCGTTGAGTCAGTTTTCATACTTGTGTCCTTCTTGGAATTTGTCCACTTCATCTGTTTGTCTGCAGGGTCTCTGGAGCATATATGAACACTCACTGCTGGAGGCTGAGTAATCGACTGTGCAGAGAGCCCACATTCCCCTACCTTCGTCATGTCACAGGACCGGCATCGTCTTCTGCTAAGGCCAGTGCTGCTCGAATCGTTCACAGGAGTTCCCACATGGACACAACCTGCCCTTCTCCCGGCTAGCGCGAGACGAGGTGGCCGATCACAGGTGACGGGGTTCTCTGCAGGGCGTCCAGTGTCTTGCAGGGTGGTGGCAGAACTTCACACTCCCACCAGCAGTGTGGGTGGTTCCGGCTGTCCCTACCCTCACCAATAGTTATCTTTTTCACTTTAGACATTTTAGTGGGCGTCATTTTGATATATATTTCCCTAACAAGCATGATGACAAGTAGCTTTTCATGTATTACTGATTCTGTACTTTCTTCGGGAAAACGTCTATTTAGATCATTTGCCCATTTTAAAATTGGGTTATTATTGATTCACAGTTGTTCTTTAAATTTTTTTATTAGTACATAGTGCTCACAATCATCATAGGGGGTTTGTACCTATTTGTACCTCATTCCCCTCCTGTCCATTTACAGCTGTTTCCATTTTTTCCTTCTACTCTCACAGTTGTTCATGTATCGTAGACACAACTTTGCTATCACGTGTGTAATTTACGAGTATCATCTCTGATTCTGTGAAGTGACCTTTCACTTTCCACAATGTTCAATGCAGCACAATCATTTCAGATTGTGGTAAGGCCCACTTCATCTTCCCATGCCTTCTTCTGTTGCCTTCCCTAAAATCTGAGGTCATTAAGATTTACCCTGTACTTTCTTCTGCATTCTGTAGGTTAAGCTTTCGTGTTTACGCTTGTCATCCGTTTTGGGTTATTCTCTATGTGGCATGTGCTGAGGGTAAAACTTCATCCCTGTGCTTGTAGCTGTCACTCATCCCAGAGCTGTTTGTTAGGAAGACTCTCTTTCCCATTGTATGGTAGTAAACTCTTGCTGGAAATCAGCCTATCAGGAACTTGTGGGTTTATTTCTATCATCTCAATCGATTTATATACATCTATCCTTACTTTAGTACCACACTATCTGGGCTGCTGATGCTTTGTAGTAGATTTTGAAACCAAGAAGTGTGAAGTCCATCCCAGAGCTGTTTGTTAGGAAGACTCTCTTTCCCATTGTATGGTAGTAAACTCTTGCTGGAAATCAGCCTATCAGGAACTTGTGGGTTTATTTCTATCATCTCAATCGATTTATATACATCTATCCTTACTTTAGTACCACACTATCTGGGCTGCTGATGCTTTGTAGTAGATTTTGAAACCAAGAAGTGTGAAGTCTCTTTTTCTTGTTCAAGTGTGCTTTGCTATTTCATGTCTTTTTTTTTTTTTTTTTTTTGTACCAGGAATTGAACTCAGGACCTTGTACTTGTGAGGCAGGCATCGTGCC